TGTTCAGGTGTGACTGTGTTCAGGTGTGATTGTTAGTGGTTGTTAAGATGATGATTTAGTTCAGGTACTGGCTCACGGTGCCCAGTGCTGGAACTGGTGCTGCCCTTCTGCTGAGAGCCAAGTCAGGATGTTCAGTCAAAGCAACCAGTTCCATTTTTAATTTAGAGACTGTTCAACTTTTATGTTTTATTGAAATTATTTCTAATTCCATCCAGTTTCCCAGTAGCTCAGTGTTATCATCTCACACCTTCACTCAGAGCTGCTCAGGCTGTGAGCCAATGGGATATTGGTGTAATGAGGTTACAGTGGAAGTTACTATTTGCTGTTTATTTCTAATGCCCATTTTGGCCTCCTGTGTACCAGGTGGCACAGTGTGGGGTGGGTGAGGGCTGGAGGAGCCTCAGTGTTCACTAAAGCCCATCTCTACTCCAGGTCTATGTCCGGCTAAGGCCGTTCTTCCGAGAGTTCCTGGAACGTATGTCTCAGATTTATGAGGTAAAACAATTGGACACTACTTTTGAATTTCATTTTTAAATTATATCCACACACTTGCATCTCAAGTAACGACTTTTTCCCCTTCAAACCCCAGATCATTCTGTTTACTGCTTCTAAGAAGGTGTATGCAGACAAGTTATTGAACATCCTGGACCCCAAAAAGCAACTGGTCAGGTAAAAACAGAACATTGTGAACATACCCTCAAGGACCAACACCTATACCTGCTCATCCTCTGTTAGGCTGGCTCATGGCAAATGTCCTCTTGGGGATCAGAAATGTGCTTTGGAATACACACTGCAAATAAAGGAAATGAACTGAGTATCAGATTACCTTTATACTCAAAATCGATTTATTAACTATAAATTATGACTTGTATAACTTTTACAATCAGCATGCTGTTTGTTCATGTTCAATCACAAAACCATTTGTCTGTTGGTTTTGTATTAGAGCTGGTTTGGTTTATCATTTCTCAATACTGAGCTTTGTTGGGAAGTGATTGGCTTTTCCAGTTCCTTAAGGCAGAAAGAAATTCCACGGGGTGAGATTGTGTTATGCTCCCCTGGAAGGAGGACTGTACCTTAGGAAGTTGAAACCAAAGAGATTTCTGCTCAGGGGTTCCCCCTCCTGGGGTGCCCCAGGTCAGGGAAGCAAACACCTGCCTGGTGGTGGTCAGAGCTGTGTGACCTGTGCCCAGCATCTCTGCACAGCCCTGCTCTGCATCCTGGTATTGTATATTCTGAGGGAAACTGGATTTTCCTCACACACACAAGAAAAGACAGTGGTTTTATCCACTGCTTTCACTCGGTGCGTGGGCACATCCCAACTCACTTTTGAAGTGCAAAAGTTAAGATGTCATTAATTTTATCCAGGAACAGTTGTATTGTGTCTTGGTTTATGTGACATCCACCACAGAATCCCAGTCTGGGCCTGGTGACCTCCTTGCCAGTGTGTAAACTAGACTTGGGAATGCTTTCAGTCCTTGGAATACCTGAGCCTGGCTGTGTCAGTGGGTGGGATGGTGGGCAGGAGGCACTGGCACCTCCAGGGCTGGGATCATTCCTGTGTTGGGGCAGGGGAAGGCCAGTTAGACACAGAGCCAGCCAGGGTTTGGGGCTGTGCAGAGCTGTCCCCGTGCTGCCCCAGGGCTGTGGCTCCCGTGCCTGCAGCAGCCGTGGTGCCCGGGCTGTGCCCCAGCCCGAGGTGCTGCCAGGCCTCCTGTGACTCACCCTCTATATATAAATGCTGAGGCAGCAGCTCCTTCCCTCCATGGCAACGTTGGGAGCTCAGCTCCTGTATGGAATTAAGCACACTATGTACAGCTTCTGAAAACTCCATTTAAAAATATAAGCAGCATGGAAGGGACTGCACTGTCATGGGGCTGGGCAACCCCAAACCTGCCCAGTTTACAATTTATAATTCTGTTGATGTGCCATGAAATGTGAGTTTTATTCCTGCTGTTTTTTTAATCTGACTCCTTCTAGTCAATCCATCCATTTCTTCTGTCATGAGTTACACAGGAGCAGATTAATTGGAAAGGAAGGAATTGATGGGATGTTTTGGCCTCGAGGCTTTTTTTCAAGCTACAATAACTGAAATAGGTTAATTGCCAACAGAGGTGTAATAGGAAAGGAAACATTTCTTGTTATGCTTTGTGCTCTGGCACTCGATGGCACGGGGAGGCCTCGTTCTGTGGGAGCTGGGACAGAGTAAAGGGATAATAACCCCCAATAAATTGGCTCCTGTGCAGCACCTGGGGCCTGGCACATCACTGGGGCGTTTTGAGTGCCTTTGTCAGTCTGAAAGGGATCAGAAAGCAAGAGCTGTTTAAATACACACACCCACAGAACTGGGTTGGTGCAAAGTCACCTGAACTGGGCATTTTACCACTAGAAAGCTCTAAAGCAAATGGGAAAGGAGCACAGTTCTTTAAAAGGGGCAAGGAGATTGGAAGAGAGGAGGTTGAGTAAGGCTTGGCAGAGTCACCTGTTCCTGACGCAGTGGGGATGTTGTCATTTGCCTCATTAATTAGTATCTTCCTTTAATGACAGGCATCGACTTTTCCGTGAGCATTGTGTGTGTGTACAAGGGAATTACATCAAGGACTTAAACATCCTGGGCAGAGACCTCTCCAAAACCATCATCATCGACAATTCACCGCAAGCCTTTGCTTACCAGGTGAGGGGCTGAGGGCAGCAAACCCCTCAGGGAGGGCAGAGCTCCCTGGGGCAGCACTGCAGCCCTGCAGCTGGACTTCCCTTCTGACTGAAGTCTGGGGCCAGTGAAACCCTGCACTTGGATCTCTCTGCTTGTTTAAGTTTGGGGATTACGTTTGTTTTGAAGTTTACGGACCAAAACTGTGGGGAAAATACACGTTAATGAACTCTGACTTGGAAACATTTTTCCTCCAGATGCTATTTCACAAGTCATATTTGTAAATACATTAAGTATAAATCATGTCTTGATGATTTTTTTTTCCCTTTTTTAACTTTAGCTTTCCAATGGAATTCCTATAGAAAGCTGGTTCATGGATAAAAATGACAACGAACTCCTAAAATTGATTCCATTTCTGGAGAAACTCGTAGAGCTGGTAAGTGTTTCCTTTCTGTGGCTCTTGCCAAAAACATCAGTGAGCTCTTTTAAGTATTTTCACGTATTTTAAGGGTTTTGAGTCACTGAGATTTAGGCTGATGAGGGTCCTGTGTGTCCCTGTGTGACTAGGCTGCTGTGGGCTGGATTTTAGAGTGGGCACAGGGACGTGTTCACACAGCAAAGGGGGGACTGCTGGCACTGCTGACTGTGCTGGAAACCAAGGGCAGTGGGGTGGGAACATCAGTGATGAGGAAATTGGGGGTCTGGGGACGTTTGCATGACACAGTACCCGTTGTTGGGAGTGCTGTGTGCCTTTGTTCTTGAAACAAATAAATTACCCCAAATTGTTTGTGGGTGTTACGTAGTTATTTCTGTAAACCTCATCATTCATTGCTTGTATTTTGTTATATTAAAATAGGGGTGTTAGACAGTGAACCCTGTGAAAATGTGATTCCTGGCTGTGTTCATTGCCCTAAACCTGCACTTCTCCCCCCAGAACGAAGACGTCCGACCTCACATCAGAGACAGATTTCGCTTGCATGACTTGCTACCCCCCGATTAAAGCCTTTGCTCTCGCTGCCGAGGGGAGGAAATGCAGGACCCTGTTGGACTAATACAAAACATTGCCATTACTGTTGAAATTTTGCATTTTTGTACCCCGTCTTGCTTTTCTTATCTTTGGTGCCCAACACTGATCAAGGGTTACAGAAAGAGACTTTCTACACCTGAGGTTGCCGCCATCAGTACAATCCAGTACCCGCAGTAGGGAGGCTAGAACAGAAAAGGCTTTAGAACTAGTGCAACTCCAAGGAAATTTTTTATGTACAGGACATCTGCAGTTTATAAAGAAAATTCTGTTTCTGCCACCAGCAGTTTGACCTGTAGAAACACAGGATTTTATGATACAACAGAGATTGAAAATGGACTCGGATTTTCTCTCTGTTCGGTGCTCTAAGTGGGTTTGTAGCCACTTTTCTGTTACTTTTAAGATTCTCATTTCAACAGGAATGGCCAGTAAAAGTTGTTTTATTTTTCCTGTTAAGGTTTATAACCTTTTTACATTTTTGACCTGTATTAGATTAGAATTTCATTATGCATTCCTTTTAGTTGAGGCGCTTCATAGTTTTTCTGGAAATAGCCAAATTTTGTTAGTTTTTTATTAAACAGTTGGCTGGCCGTTTCCCTGCTTTGTCTGCCTGCATCCTGTATATTTGTTTAAAAATATTCTCTAGTTTTAGCCCACGTAAGTTTCATTTAGAAAGAAAAAAAAAAAACCCCCCGCATTTATATTTTCTTTCTGTAATATTCTACTGTAGTCGAAACCTTTTCAAAAATCAAGAGACTGGCTAGATAAGAAGATAAGAATTACTAATATTCCGAATCTTTTAAACCATTGTGATGGCACGTACTCCGGACAGAGCACACCTGGCAGTGGCCCCACGGATGGACAAGGAATACCTCACACTGTGCTGTGCATGGACCTGGCCAGGAGGAGGAGCGTGGTCAGCTGGCAGGTTTGCTGGGATCCCATTCCTGCTGCCTCCTTTGCTCCGGGACTGCCGCGCTGCGCTCAGTGTTCCGGGGAGTCGGGCCTGGGCTGGGCACCCCTGGGACACTCCCGGTTCCAATCAGCCTCTCCCGGGGAGCAGCCCCTGGCAGGGCTCCACCTGCCATCCCAGTGGTTTCCCGAGGGAATAGGCCCCAGCCGTGGCTCCTAATGCAGCGCCCCGGAGGTGATATTTTTGTAACGGTGGGAAATCTGCTTTTCCGGAGGCTTTTTATGGAAGGTAGAATTTGTACAAGGTAGGAAGCTTTGCCTCTCGACTGCATTACCACGCCACAGGCTCGGACTGGTTTTGTGTAAAAGATGTCACAGAACGGCACTTTTTCTAAAGAGAAGTTTGCTATTTTGTATGCTTGATAAGAAAGTACAGTATTGGAAATTAAAGGTGGACAGCTGATAATTGAGAAGTATGTCAATTAATTTTTTATGTATATTACCTGTTTACTTGTACAATTTTATTGTACAAATTACATGCAGCTTCATTTTCAAATGAGTCCTTAAAATAAGGAAAATCTTTTTAGCAAAACATTTAATTTTTGTATTTTTGATTTTAAAAGGCATGAGTTATGTCAACTTTTTCCAGTGTATTAATGAAGATTTTAACTTTTCATCAGGTTGAGTGTTTTCTTACTATATTATCTGTTGTGTATGTAGCTAGCACATGGTGTCACTGAACTGTTAAACTTAGCATGTAGAGCAAGCCTGTTTTGTGGAAAATCCTTATTCATTAAAAACAAAATCATCATGGCAGATTTTCTGCAAAAAAAGTGAAAACATTTGCAATTCAGAATACTGATTTTTTTTGTATTTAAAGAAAGGTATTTTGCTTGCAGGAAAGAAATACTACAGATTCATTTTAATGAGAATCTTTTAAATGTATTTATCTTTAGGGCATCTGGGCATCTTTACGCTGTTTGTCTTATGTCTTTATTGAAATAAAATGTACAGAACATTACCTTTACATCTGCTTCGCGCAGCCGTGTCGCCCTGGGCAGCCCTTCCTCGGGGGCTGTGCCCATGGCTCTGGAAGGATTGCTGGATTTTGGAAGTGGTCAGCTTGTGTTGGAGCTGCTCCTTGGTTTGCCGGCCCGTTGTCAGTTGTTCTTTGCGATGTAAATCTGGATTTGAGGGGTTTCATTAGTTTAGGGGCAAAGCTTTGTGTAACAGGGTGTTTGTCCAGATCTCTCACGTCACAGAGCTGCTGTGAGTCCACTGACCCACCAGAGTGAGCCCAGTTTGGTTTAGTTCGTGGCCCTTCTCTGGCTGTAAAGGGTGTTCAGCTGTTCAAACAATGTCCTTGTCTCCAGGTCCTCTCAGTGGCTCCCCCGTTCCAAAGGTGCTGCCAGGCTGAGGAGAGCAGAGCCAGGTTAGAGCTGTGTCTGTGCTGTGCCCACCAGACCCAGGAGGGAAACCCTCCTGTCAGGGGGGATTGGTTCTGCACGGCTGCACTGCCCAGGGACAGACATTGCCCAGGGACAGACACTGCCAGGAGGCAGACACTGCCCAGGGACAGACACTGCCCAGGGACAGACACTGCCAGGGCACAGACACTGCCCAGGACACAGACACTGCCCAGGGCACAGACACTGCCAGGGGACAGACACTGCCAGGGGACAGACACTGCCCAGGACACAGACACTGCCCAGGACACACAACCAGTGTTCCTGTGCTCCTGTGCTGCCAGCCTGCTCCTTGGCACTGAACGCTGCACAGAGGTTCTGCCTCCTGCAAAACATCCCTTCCTACAAATGTCAAACCCTTCTGGAATGGAGCAGAGTTTTGATGCACAGGTTTTATTTCTCCTGTTGTCTCGAGGGCGAGTTCCCTGTTCCTCTGCCAAGGGGCTGGGCCAGGTTGTGTCCCCAGAACCCCTCCTGTGACCAGGGCAGGCTCAGCCACGGGTGTTACTGAGCCTTGAATGTCTGGAACTCAAGCAGTGCATCTGCAGCTCGATCATTTATACCGATTTTATGTATTTTGGGGAAGTACAACACCCTATTTTCAAGGTTCTGAATGTTTTCTTTTGTGGTCTCTTGCTGGATCGTGGTGATCCTGTGTCCATTTTCCATGTTCCCATGGATTCTGTTCTAGGTTGAAGCATCTTGGTTCTGGCAGCACAATACCACCTTTAGACCTATTTTGGCAGTACCTGTTCAATCCTTTGTTTTCCCTGGAGTTTCTCTGTAGCTGGAACAGCCCTCACCTTGGTGTTGCTGCTTCCTTCCACCTTGGATTCACCCCAGCTGCCATTTTTCATTACTTTTGAATGTATCAGGAAGCCTGGATGTCTCAGGAGCGGAGCAGAAATCTCCCAAAGCACGAGTGGTGTCAGCCAAGGGCGGCAGGAGGAGATGGATCAGCTCTGGGCAAAGCCCTTTAACTGGTGTCAGACCCCCGGGGGTGCCGTGAGCAGCAAAAGCCCTTGCAGAGCACGTGGTCCCCTCCCCAGACACTGCTCTATCCAGTTCAGGGACTCACAGGGCTGGCTGGATTGGTGCAGCTGGAGAGCATCGAGCCCCCTGGGAAGAGGGACCAGGAGGGAGTGGATGAGGAGGAGGAGTGGGCACAAATCCCACCAGCCCAGTGGCAGGACAGCACAAATCCCACAGCCCAGCGGTGTGGGGAGACCAACCCCTCATTCCAGAAGTGATTCCAATCCCTCTCGTGTTTCATCTGCAGGTGAAAACACTGCTTTGAGGATTTGAGCTAAAAGGGACATCAAAATCCATCCTGGGAATTGTGGAAAGCTGGAATGTGAAGACTGAGGGAGTTCCCCGGTGTCTGGGCTGGTGAGTGTGGAGGGTTTCCCTCCTCCTGCTCCTTCCTTCCCTGGGTCACTGTTGCTGCTTCCTTGGGCCAGGCACGGGCTGAGCCTGAGCTGGGAGCAGATCCAGCCAAAAACTGAGCCCCAGAGGAGAAGGGGAGATGGAGGAGCTGCCCAGGCTGCTGGGAGTGGGAGGGGGGTGAGGGGTCATGGGAAGACAATTTTTCTGGAAAAATAATTGTGGCATTGAGCTGGTTCAGCTGGAGAACAGTGTCACAGAGTCCCACGAGGACACTGAAGGACACTCAAAGAGTTGGTCACACCAAGGCCATACAACATTTCAGCTTTGCATTGGAGGTTCCTGGTGTGGAGCTCCTGGAGTGGAGGAATGGGAAGGAGCACAGGGGCAGCGGGTGCTCACTGAGGGGTCAGACTGCTGGAAAAAAAATACCCCAACCCCCCTTTGTTTGGAGGCAAACAAGGATGTTCTGCTAAGGAAGGATGTGGACACACCTTGTGGAGCACATCCCAATTTTGCTTGTCCATGCAATGTAACTTTTGCTTTATTTTTTTGATACTTGCAGGAATGTCGTCATACCAATGAGCCAAATCTCGTGAAGTGTGATGGGAGGAGAGGGCCTGGGCTATGGATTTGTGTTTCCTCTGCAGTCATTTCTAGTCTATAGAATCAGAAAGATTTATGGTGAATATTTATGCTCTGGCTACTGTTTTTATGATTTTTAGCTGATATCATCCTTCATTGAGACTTTGTTTTCTGCAAATCGAGACATTGCTCCTGTTGGTTTTCAGCCTTGAAGGGAAGGAATTGTGTCTATGTTTTACAAGCTAAAGATACTGGAGGACAACAATGAAAAATTTCAATGTTCTGTGTAAATCCAAATCACTGCACAATTCCTGGCAGTTTTGTGATTATCCCCACAGCAGCCTGTGAAACCGTGTGTGGACTTGGTGAGGGTATAACTTGGGACATTGTTGGATCCATAGTTACATCTCTGTTGTTATTTATATGGCCTGGTAAACGGGGGCCAAGGAAGAAAGGATGATAAATTTGGAAGTCCTGTTTTTTCTAGCTCATGTCTATCACAGTGTCAGAGATCATTCAATTGTTACATGAAAGACATAAATTTATTATCTTCAGACAAAATCTGGGAGCTGGCAGTGAAATGAACGGGATGAAGGGAACGTTCCCAGCTTTTCTCTATTCGGTGTTATGTGACAGAGACGAAAGGAGGAAAACCACACCCCGAAGAGTTGGACAGCCCGGGGCGTTCTGGTGCGGGGCAGGAGCGCGGGGCGAGCGTGGTGGCCGCGCTCCCGTCAGACCCGCGGCCGAGGCACAGTTCGTGCCCGTTTTCAGAGGGCACAGAGGCAGCGCTGGGGCAGTGCCCGTGTGCTCAGCCCGGGCTATCGGTGCCCAGGGGCCGGGGCGGCTCCCGCGGCTGCGGCCCCGCGATAGCGCCGGGACGGGAGGGGGGAAGGAGCTTCCCCCGGGAGAGCCCCGCGCCTGCGGGCCCGGGAGCGGCGGGGCGGGCAGGGGCGGGAGCCCGGTCCCATCACTGTCCTATCCCGATCCCGTTCCCATTGCCGATCCCATCCCTATCACCATTCCATCCCTATCCTATCCCATCTCCATTCCCATCCCTATCCCCATCCCTATCCCCATCCTTATCCTATCCCATCCCATCTCCATTCCCATCCCTATCCCCATTCCATCCCTATCCTATCCCATCCCTATCCCATCCCATCTCCATTCCCATCCCATCTCCATTCCCATCCCTATCCTATCCCATCTCCATTCCCATTCCCATTCCCATCCCATCCCATCTCCATTCCCATCCCATTCCCATTCCCATTCCCATTCCCATTCCATCCCATCTCCATTCCCATCCCTATCCCATTCCCATTCCCATCCCTCTCCCCGCCGTTCCCGCCATGGCGGCGGTGGCCCCGCCCCGGGGGGCGTGGCCGGGTGTGGGCGTGGCCGCGCCGGCGCCGTCCCGTGGTGCCCCGCGCGCTGCCCCGCGGCCGGGCCGGGGCAAGATGGCGGCGGAGGCGGCGGACTCGTGGGGTGGGTGCGGCGGGGCCGGGGGCGCCGGGGGGGCCGGGGGCGCGGGGAGACCCCCGCCCCTCACCCGCTCCTCTCCCCAC